CTTTCAAGGTGCAGATACTGTCAATGTCGAGTATTTTTTAGCCTCCTGGATTCTGCCGAAACCGCCTGACACATTCTTCTCGAGTTCATTCATCCGAACAGCCTGTGCTACGTACTTAGCCATTTGAAAGCTATTAGCGGCTCCATATCCGCTCGACCTTCCCTAGTTACGCTCCCTGTAGCTTACTAACGCCCGTTTCTGTTCTCGCCGACGGCCCGTTTCACATTTATTTCCTTTCCTTGCTGTCGCCGTTTCTGCCCGATTGCTCGCTCGTTCGGATCCTTTTCCCGTGCCTTGCTGGCTTCGCCGTCGCTTCGCAGGCATCGTCTTCGTTTCGCCGGTTTCGTCTTTGTCTCGCCAATTTCGCCATCACCTCGCCTGGCACGATGGTACCTCCTCACATGAAATGTCTGGCGCTGCACAATATCACCTTGACTGGACGAGGCAGTCGTTCCTTACTGTCACAGCCAGTACTGTCACAGCTCGTGCCATCCGCGTGTCGGTGGGTTCGCGTTGTTGGTGCGCATGGAATAAAGACACGGACGACACTATTTCCAGGGAATAGAGCAGCTTGCTCGTTGCATGAAGGCTCCTAGTAGTAATAGCCTCTCTGAATTAGCTTTTCCTGACAGGTTCTCGGAGATCGAGATTACTGGATAAGGGCTTTAAGGACTGATTGCCGTAGAACCCACCACGTTATTCGCGAGTCTGATGTATCAGCCTTCTCCCAGGCGGCCTTGTTCTCCTGCCAGCCACCTGAAGATTCTCCTGGAAGCTGACTTTCTCACCGTCAGCCTGACTGCTTGACAGCCTGGCACCCAGCATCGTCCCTCCAGCTTCACATGTGCACCGAGGCTTCGTAAAAGTGACTCAGTCGCCAAAATCGTGATACTTTCTGTAAATCGGTCGCCGACCAACATACAAGTCATGAAGCAGCAAGTGCAGCAGATCATGCAAGGACATCGCGAGGTGTTGCGAGACCGTCAGCGTGCCTTGGACCTCCTATTTTTCCTGCTTCTGGTTGTTGCACGGTCTACTACTGCAGTGGCATCAGCAGCAGCGGCAGCAGGAGCAGCGGCATCAGTAGTACCTGCAGCAGGAGCCCGTGAAACGACCACTGAAACGAGTTTGCCTCTTCAGGAACCCGTTACCCGTGCGTCTGTAGCCCCCGTTTTGAAGACTTCACCACTTGAATCGCCTGGCATAGCAGGATTCAACGACGCACCCAGCATCCCGGCTTTTGCTGAAGAGATTCGCGAAATGAGAAGGGCTCATCACAACCAAGGGATTCGTAACATCAAAGGAGGCAGCAGGGAGGTTCATCCCACCAAAAGGGTTCATTCCGTCCTGAGGGTCCATGGCTCCAGAGCAACTCATCACAACCACACCAAAGCAGTTCACACGGGTGCCGGAAAGTCGAATCAACGGCTGAGTAGGCTCCCTCGGGGATGGCCAGGCATCAGGAAGAGGCCACGTGGATCCAGCCAATGTGCACGCGCCACGTCATCACGAGAATCGTTGCTGCCGAAGCTGCGAACGCAGGAGATTCGGAGAGGCAGGGGGAAGTGTGGCAGGGGACGGAGGGGGAGGGGCAAGGGCGAGAGAAGCAGGGGTGGGAGGAAGAGTAAGGTCAGCATGGGGATGGGAGACAGGAGGGGGGGAAGCGGACACAATTCATCAGCAAAACCACCTGCTCCGATCACACCTAGTCAGAAACCACCTGCTCCGATCACACCTGGTCAGAAACCACCTGCTCCGACCACACCTGGTCAGAAACCACCTGCTCCGATCACACCTGGTCAGAAACCACCTGCTCCGATCACACCTGGTCAGAAACTACCTGCTCCGATCACACCTAGTCAGAAACCACCTGCTCCGATCACACCTAGTCAGAAACCACCTGCTCCGATCACACCTAGTCAGAAACCACCTGCTCCGATCACACCTGGTCAGAAACCACCTGCTCCGATCACACCTAGTCAGAAACTACCTGCTCCGACCACACCTGGTCAGAAACCACCTGCTCCGATCACACCTAGTCAGAAACCACCTGCTCCGATCACACCTGGTCAGAAACCACCTGCTCCGATCACACCTAGTCAGAAACCACCTGCTCCGATCACACCTAGTCAGAAACTACCTGCTCCGATCACACCTGGCCAGAAACTACCTGCTCCGATCACACCTGGCCAGAAACCACCTGGTCAGAAATCTTCTACTGGATCAAGACCACCTGCTAGTCCAGATTCACCTGGGGAATCACCTGACCGCCACGTCAGCATGCGGTCGAATCAAGATGCGCCACAACAGGCAGCAACAGGCAGCAGTAACACGTCAGACAAGGACACGACTGTAGCGCCGTTACCAGCTGTAGCGCCATTCCCGGCTGTAGCGCCTGGTGGTGGTGATGGTGCTCCAGAGGCAGCAAGAACAGCAACAGCAGCAGCAGCAACGTCGCCTGCTGCGCCCCCAGCTGCTTCCCAGCAGCCCAAGCCCAAGTACTTCCTTGAGATGGGCAAGATCCGCGTGAGTGGGAGGACGGGGGTCTGTGTGAGTGGGGGGACGGGGGTCTGTGTGAGTGGGGGGAGATGGGATAAGGTAGGGCAATATCTGGTGCTCCTGGATCTGCCGCTGCTGCTCCCCAACAGCCTCCCAAACCCAAGTACTTCCTCGAGATGGGCAAGATCCGCGTGAGTGGGCGGGGGGATGGGGGTGCGCGTGTGTGGGGGTAAGAGGATAAGGCAGGGCAATATCTGCTGCTCCTGGATCTGCCGGTGCTGCTGCTGCTCCCCTACAGCCTCCCAAACCCAAGTACTTCATCGAAATGGGCAAGATCCGCGTGAGTAAAAGGGGGGGGGAGGGGATAGCAATAAGGTAGGACAATATCTGCTGCTGCTACTGCTGCTGCTGCTGCTGCCCTCTGCGCCCCCAGCTGCTCCCCAGCAGCCTCCCAAGCCCAAGTACTTCCTCGAGATGGGCAAGATCCGCGTGAGTGGGGGAGGGGGGGAGTAGGGATAAGGTACGACAATACCTGCTGCTGCTGCTGCTGCTGCTGCTGCTGCTGCTGCTGCTGCTGCCCTCTGCGCCCCCAGCTGCTACCCAGCAGCCCAAGCCCAAGTACTTCCTCGAGATGGGCAAGGTCCGCGTGAGTGGGGGGACGGGGGTCTGTGTGAGTGGGGGGAGATGGGATAAGGTAGGGCAATATCTGGTGCTCCTGGATCTGCCGGTGCTGCTCCCCAGCAGCCCAAACCCAAGTGCTTCCTCAAGATGGGCAAGATCCGCGTGAGTGGATGGGAAGGGGGTCCGGGTGAGTGGGGGTGGGGGTTGGGGGTCCCGTGAGTGGGGGCAGTTGGGTCCGCGTGAGTGGGGGGAGATGGGGAGTGGTATTGTGTGTAGCTGCTGCTGGTCTCCTGCTGCATACCAGCAAGAAGACTTTTGAGGCGCCTCAAAAGACCATCTCCTTGCTTTTTGCCATTCACCCTTCTGCCATCACCTTCCCCCCCTCCCCCAATCACGTCCCCAGGTGTCAGGGATCCACACTGCTCTGACTCATTATAAGACGATCCTTTACATTCTTGTCTCTGCTACGTGTAGCTGTTGACTTCTGTGTTGCTCTCTGCTGCTCTGTGCTGCCTTCGCCCCCCCAGGTGTCAGGGATCCACACTGCTCTGACTCATTATAAGACGATCCTTTATATCGACCGTACGGACGTCAGCAACACCTATGCCAAGCTCCCAAACGGAAGGGTGAGAGAATTTGCGCGCACCAGTGCTCCGTTTGCTCTTTGTCTCTCATAACACTTGGCAGAGCAGGTCAAGAGACTGTAACAGGTCTCATCGCATGTTGTCTGATTAGCAGAAAGTTGCACCAGCGCTCCATTTGCTCTTTGTCTCTCATATGCACCAGACAGAGCAGGTCAGACAGAGACTGTTACAGGTCTCATACTGTCTGATTAGCAGAAAGTTGCACCATTGCGCCGTTTGCTTTTTGTGTCTCAAATGCACCAGGCAGAGCAGGTCAGTCAGACAGAGACTGTTACAGGTCTCATACTGTCTGGTTAGCAGAAAGTTTAAGCAATTTTGGAGGTGCTTTCTAGTTTGTCCCATATGCTCCCGGGAGAGAAGCAGATCCTTGACTGTAACGGGTGTAGACTGTAACGGGTGTAGACTGTAACAGGTCTAGGAGGTCTCATCTGCTAAGCTCTGTCTGTCTGTTGGTCTGTATGTCTCTCTATGTTTACCTGTCTGTCCGTCCGTCCGTCCGTCCGTCTGTCTGTCTGTCTGTCTGTCTGTCTGTCTGTCTGTCTGTCTGTCTGTCTGTCTGTCTGTCTGTCTGTCTGTCTGTCTGTCTGTCTGTCTGTCTGTCTGTCTGTCTGTCTGTCTGTCTGTCTGTCTGTCTGTCTAGGCTCTAGACGTCAAATCAACTATCTGCTTTCAAGGCCATCGGATCCTCCCACATCTCGACGTATCCCCGACATCCCCAACCAACTCCTTCCCTCCCTTGCCGCTCCCTCCCTCCCTCCGTCCCTCCCTCGCTCGCTCCCTCCCTCCCTCCGTCCCTCCCTCGCTCGCTCCCTCCCTCCCTCCTTCCCTCCCTCGCTCGCTCCCTCCCTCCCTCCTTCCCTCCCTCGCTCACTCGCTCCCTCCCTCCTCACTCACCCGCTTGTTCCCTCCCCTGCTCCCTCCCTCCCTCCCTCCCTCCCTCCCTCCCTCCCTCCCTCCCTTGCTCCCTCACTCCCTCTCCTTGCTCCCTCCCTCGCTCCCTCCCTTCCTCCCTCCCTTTCTCGCTTTCTCTCCCCGATCCTCCCTTTTTGGCCCCGTTCAGACGGCTTACGCTGAGGGTACAGCTTTGAAACGGGGTCGCTCAGGGCTCTGGGCGTCAAATCACCCCGTCACTAATAGCCTCTGTCTCTTCCCCCTTCCACCTCCCTCCCCATTTCCTCTTTCAGACGGCTAATGCAGAGGAGTACAGCTTTGAAACGAGGTCGCTCAGGGCTCTAGATGTCAAGTCGAATATCTTCTTCTGCTCACACATCACTCATCATATCCCCTATGGTACCCTGCCTCCTCCCTGCCATTCCCCTCCCTTTCCATTTCCTTGTTCAGACGGCGTATGCAGAGGAGTACGGCTTCGATACGGGGTCGCTCAGGGCTCTAGATGTCAAGTCAAATGTCTCCTTCTGCTCACACATCACTCATCATATCCCCTATGGTACCCTGCCTCCTCCCTGCCATCCCCCTCCCTTTCCATTTTCCTGTTCAGACGGCGTATGCAGAGGAGTACAGCTTTGAGACGGGGTCGCTCAGGGCTCTGGGCGTCAAGTCCAATACGTTCTGCTCTTCTTCCCCATCACCTCCTCCCTCCCCTCCCCCATCCCCACCTCCCTCCCACTCCCTCCGTTCAGACGGCGTATGCAGAGGAGCACAGCTTTGGAACGGGGTCGCTCAGGGCTCTGGACGTCAAATCACCCGTCACTAATAGCCTCTGTCTCTTCCCCCTTCCACCTCCCTCCCCCACTCCCTCCGTTCAGACTGCCTACGCAGAGGAGTACAGCTTTGAAACGGGGTCGCTCAGGGCTCTGGACGTTAAGTCCAATGTTTTCTGCTCTGCAGGTACGTACCGGTCAATGCTGGTCAACGCTGGTTTAGGGTTTAACACTGGTCAATGCTGGTCAATGTTGGACAACTGGTCAATGATGGTCAACGCTGGTCAACACTGGTCAACGCTGGTCAACGCTGGTCAACGCTGGTCAATGCTTGTCAATCTTGGTCAAGTGGTCAACACTGGTCAATAGCGGGAAATGCTTTCTAATGCTGGTCAACACTGGTAACTTGGGGGTTGTCTCATCAGCATCGGCGGCACATCACACCCCTGCTGCTGCTGCACCACTGCCGGGGGCAGGGGGAATCTCGGTGGTGTTCTCCCTGCCGAGTTTTGAGTCGACTCAAAACTCGAATCTCGGTGGTGGTCTCCCTGCCGCCCTGCTGCTGCCACCACTGCCGATACCAGCAGTGGCACAAAGTATACAAGAGAAGCAGTGTGTGGTGTTCTGTTCTCCCCCTCGCCTCCCTCTCGCCTTCCCTTCTGGCGCCATCGACCCTTTCTGCGTGCTGCTCTCCCCATTGCACCCTGCTGTGTGTGGTATCACCCCCCTCCTTGCTTCATCCCCACCAGGCGCCATCGATCCCTTTGGTCGGCTGATGAGCATCGGCGGCACATCAGACGCCAATGCCACCAATCTGGCCGACCCTCTGCTGTGTGATGTTCTCATTCTCACCGCCCCAACCCTCCTCCCCCAACCTCACCAGGAGCCATCGATCCCTTGGGTCGGCTGATCAGCATCGGAGGCACATCAGACGCCAATGCCACCAACCTGGCAGCCTCTGCTGTGTGATGTTCTCATTCTCACCGCCCCAATCCTCCTTCCCCAACCTCACCAGGAGCCATAGACCCCTTGGGTAGGTTAATCAGCATCGGCGGCACATCAGACGCCAAAGCCACCAACCTGGCCGACCCTCTCCTTGATGGAGCTGCCTCCATCCGCTCCTTCTCGCCCTGCCCCCCACCTGCCGCCACTAGTGTTGCTGCTGCCCCCGCTGCTGCTGCTCCCGCTGCTGCTCAAGCCTGTGGTCTTCACTGCCTCTCCCTTTCCCTCCTCCCTCTCTCACACAATCCAGGAGCCATAGACTCATTTGGTCGCCTAATCAGCATCGGAGGCACATCAGACGCCAATGCCACCAACCTGGCCGACCCTCCTGTGTGATATTCCCCTTCTTGACACCCCAACCCTCCTTCCCCAACCCCACCAGGAGCCATAGACCCCTTGGGTAGGCTGATCAGCATCGGCGGCACATCAGACGCCAATGCCACCAACCTGGCCGACCCTCTCCTCGATGGAGCTGCTTCTATCCGCTCCTTCTCGCCCTGCCCCCCCCCCCTGCTACTGCTACCACTAGTGTTACTGTTGCCCCTGCTGCTGCTGCCCCCGCTGCTGCTGCTCCCTCTGCTGCTCAAGCCTGTGGTCTTCACTGCCTCTCCCTTTCCCGCCTCCCTCTCTTGATTCACCAGGAGCCATAGACCCCTACGGTCGCTTAATCAGCATCGGCGGCACATCAGACGCCAATGCCACCAACCTGGCCGACCCTCTCCTTGACGGAGCTGCCTCCATCCGCTCCTTCTCGCCCTGCCCCCCTGCCACTAGTGGCGCTGGTACCCCTGTTGCTGCCGCTTCTCCCATTAGCAACAGCCGCAGCGGCGGCAGCAGTGGCAACAACGGCAACACCAGCAGCAGCGGCGGCGGAGGCAACAGCAGCAGCAGCAGCAGCAGCAGTGGGGGGTGTGATTTCTCCCTGGTCGGCCAGATGACCTCCAAGAGGTGGTACCCCACGGCCCAGCTCTTACCTGATGGGCGGATCTTCATTGTGGGTGGTGCTAATGTGTTTGGCAACGTGGCCATCAACTCGGTTCAAAACAACAACCCCACCTTCGAGTTCTGGCCCAGGAAGGACGGAGAAGGTGAGGCTTTGAGTGCGATTGAGTGCGGTTAAGGAGACAGAGAAGTGACCTCCAAGCGGTGGTACCCCACGGCCCAGCTCTTACAGGACGGTCGGATCTTCATTGTTGGGGGTGCCAACGTGTTTGGCAACGTGGCAATCAATTCCGTACGGGACAACAACCCCACCTTCGAGTTCTGGCCCAGGAAGGACGGAGAAGGTGAGGTTTGGAGTGCGGTTGTGTGCGGTGAAGGAGACAGAGAAGTGACCTCCAAGAGGTGGTACCCCACGGCCCAGCTCTTACCAGACGGGCGCATCTTCATTGCGGGTGGTGCTAATGTGTTTGGCAACGTGGCGATCAACTCGGTTCAAAACAACAACCCCACCTTCGAGTTCTGGCCCAGGAAAGAGGGCAAAGGTGAGGTTTTGAGTGCGGTTGTGTGCGGTTAAGGAGACAGAGAAGTGGCCTCCAAGAGGTGGTACCCCACGGCGCAGCTCTTACCGGACGGTCGGATCTTCATTGTGGGCGGTGCGAATGTGTTTGGCAACGTGGCGATCAATTCAGTACGGGATAACAACCCGACCTTCGAGTTCTGGCCCAGGAAGGACGGAGAAGGTGAGGCGGATGCACTGTTCTTCCATGGTTGGGTGCGGTTGTGCGGGGTTGAACGGGCTGTGTAAGGCAGAAGGGGGTGGGGAGAGATGGGATGGGACCTCCAAGCGGTGGTGCCCCACGGCCCAGCTCTTACCAGATGGGCGCATCTTCATTGCGGGTGGTGCTAATGTGTTTGGCAACGTGGCGATCAACTCGGTTCAAAACAACAACCCCACCTTCGAGTTCTGGCCCAGGAAAGAGGGCAAAGGTGAGGTTTTGAGTGCGGTTGTGTGCGGTTAAGGAGACAGAGAAGTGGCCTCCAAGAGGTGGTACCCCACGGCGCAGCTCTTACCGGACGGTCGGATCTTCATTGTGGGGGGTGCGAACGTGTTTGGCAACGTGGCGATCAACTTGGTTCAAAACAACAACCCCACCTTCGAGTTCTGGCCCAGGAAAGACGGAGAAGGTGAGGTGGGTGGGAAAAGATGGGGGTCAAGATAAGGGAGCAGCAAAGAGCGAGTTCCTAGGCAACAACCCCACCTTCGAGTTCTGGCCCAGGAAGGACGGAGAAGGTGAGGTGGGTAAAGGGGACATTATCCCTGCTGTATGTTGCCATGGTTGGGTGCGGTTGAACGGGCTGTGTATGGCAGAAAGGGGTTTGGAGAGAGGGGACCTCCAAGCGGTGGTACCCCACGGCCCTGCTCTTACCGGACGGGCGCATCTTTATCATTGGTGGCGCCAACGTGTTTGGCAACGTGGCGATCAACTCGGTGCGGGATAACAACCCCACCTTCGAGTTCTGGCCCAGGAAAGAGGGCGAAGGTGAGGTTTTGAGTGCGGTTGCGTGCGGTTAAGGAGTCAGAGAAGTGACCTCCAAGCGGTGGTACCCCACGGCCCAGCTCTTACCAGACGGGCGCATCTTCATTGCGGGTGGTGCTAATGTGTTTGGCAACGTGGCCATCAACTCGGTTCAAAACAACAACCCCACCTTCGAGTTCTGGCCCAGGAAGGAGGGCGAAGGTGAGCCTCCTGTGTGTTGCCTCGGTTGCTCGGTTGGGTGCAGTTGTGTACGGTTGGGTGCAGTTGTGTCCGGTTGGGTGCAGTTGTGTACGGTTGGACGGGCTGCGTAAGGCAGAAGGGGGTGGGGAGAGATGACCTCCAAGCGGTGGTACCCCACGGCCCAGCTCTTACCAGACGGTCGGATCTTCATTGTGGGGGGTGCCAACGTGTTTCGCAACGTGGCAATCAACTCGGTTCAAAACAACAACCCCACCTTCGAGTTCTGGCCCAGAAAAGAGGGAGAAGGTGAGGTTTTGAGTGCGGTTAAGGAGACAGAGAAGTGACCTCCAAGCGGTGGTACCCCACGGCCCAGCTCCTACCGGACGGGCGCATATTCATCATTGGAAGCGCCAATGTGTTTGGCAACGTGGCGATCAACTCGGTTCAAAACAACAACCCCACCTTCGAGTTCTGGCCCAGGAAGGAGGGCGAAGGTGAGGTGGGTGGGAAAAGGTGGGGATGTAGTGTTGTAGATAAGGGAGCATCAAAGAGCGAGTTCCGAGGCAACAACCCCACCTTCGAGTTCTGGCCCAGAAAGGAGGGAGAAGGTGAGGCAGGTGGGAAAAGGTGGGGGTGTAGATAAGGGAGCATCAAAGAGCGAGTTCCGAGGCAACAAACCCATCTTCGAATTCTGGCCCAGGAAAGACGGAGAAGGTGAGTCTTTTGAAAGAGGGCAGGCAAAAGCTAAGGTCCTGAGAATTCTCAAGAACCCTGATCCCAACCCTGTTCCCTAACCCAGGCAACTATGCTTTCTTGAAGAACCTCTGCCCTACAACCTCTATCCCTTTGTGCTCCTGCTTTCTCTAATCTCTCACTCTTCCACCTTTCCATCCCCCTGCACCTCGGTCCACCTTCCAGGCAACTACAAGCTCCGCTTTCTGGAAGAGACGCTTCTCTACAACCTCTACCCCTTCGTGCACCTGCTGTCTCAACCTTACCCTCTTCCAACTCTTCTATTCCCCTCTCCCTGTCCCTTTCTCCACGGTCCACCACCCTCCAGGCAACTACAAGCTCCGCTTTCTGGAAGAGACGCTTCCCTACAACCTCTACCCGTTCGTGCATCTGCTGCCTTCTGGGCATCTGTTTATATTCGCGGGGCAGCGGGCGATCCTGCTTAACTACACCACCAACACGGTAGGCTAGGCTGAACCGCATTGAACCACACTGGACCGCAGTGAACCATAGTGAACCACCCTCACTAGAAATTTCCACAATTGGTGTTGTGTTGCCCTCTACCCGTTTGTGCACCTGCTGCCTTCGGGGCTTCTGTTTATATTCGCGGGGCAACGGGCGATTCTGCTCAACTACACAACCAACACGGTATGCGTTCAACCACACTGAACCACACTGGATCGCACTGGGACGCACTGAACCCCGGCAAACCACGGTGAACCACTTTGAATCTAGACTAGGTGCACGGCCGGTGGTGTGTTTGCCCTCTACCCGTTTGTGCACCTGCTTCCTTCGGGGCATCTGTTCATATTCGCGGGGCAACGGGCGATTCTGCTCAACTATACCACCAACACAGTACGCTGTACCACACTGAACCACACTGGATCGCACTGGGACGCACTGAACCCCGGCAAACCACGGTGAACCACTTTGAATCTAGACTAGGTGCACGGCCGGTGGTGTGTTTGCCCTCTACCCGTTTGTGCACCTGCTTCCTTCGGGGCATCTGTTCATATTCGCGGGGCAACGGGCGATTCTTCTCAACTACACCACCAACACGGTAGGCTGAACCGCATCGCACCATATTGAACCGCACTGAATTGCACCTCTCTGCCCCTCCCTCCCTCACTCCTGACCCATCCTCGATGCTGCACTGCTCTGCACTGCACCTCCCTCTCCCTCTCCATCCCTCCCTGCCATCGATCTCAGGTGTACCTCACACCTCCTCCTCCTACTCCTCCTCCTCCTCCTCCTCCTCCTCCTCCTCCTCCTCCTCCTCCTCCTCCTCCTCCTCCTCCTCCTCCTCCTCCTCCTCATCCTCCTCCTCTGGACATCTATCGCTTTGGCCCGGCCAACACCAACGTCTTCCGCCCCTAACCCGTCACCGGCTCCTCTTCTCTCCCTCCCTCATCTGTCCCTCCCTCCCATCTCTCTCAGGTGTACCTCACCCTTCCTCCTCTGGACGTTTCTCACTTCGGCCCAGCCAACACCAACACCTTCCGCTCCTGCCCTGTCACCGGCTCCTCTGCTCTGCCCTTCACCTCTCTCCCTCCCTTATTCACTCCAACCCTATCCTTGATTCCTCTTCCATCCTGTCAGGTGTACCGCACCCTTCCTCCTCTGGACGTATCCCGCTTTGGCCCCGCCAACACCAACATTTTTCGCTCCTACCCTGTCACCGGCTCCTCTGCTCTGTCCTTCAACTCGCTCCCTCCCTTATTCACTGCATCCCCATCCTCAATTCCTCTTCCATCCCGTCAGGTGTTCCGCACCCTTCCTCCTCTGGATGTCTCCCGCTTCGGCCCGGCCAACACCAACATCTTCCGCTCCTACCCTGTCACCGGCTCCTCCGCTATGCTACAGCTCTCCTCAGGTATTTCTGCCTCCATTATTTGCTCGCTCCCTTCTCTTGTGTGTATCAATGCACCTCAAGTCTCAAACTGCGCCTACCCTGTCACTGGCTCCTCCGTCGTGCTACAACTCTCCTCAGGTATGCCTGTCTCCCCTGCTACAGCCATGGCTTTGTATGGGATGAGGCACCCCAGCAGCTGCGCCTACCCTGTCACTGGCTCCTCCGTCGTGCTACAGCTCTCTTAGGTGTTTTTGCCTTCATGTTCGTACTAGAGCCTTTCTGTGCTACAGCCTTTCTGTGCTACAGCCGTTCTGTCTGTTCTCCCTCTTCCCCTCCCCAGCTCATGCCTACACTCCTCTGTTCTCCTCATTCTTCCTCTCCCCTTCGCCCATCCAGCTGACGGGTACACGCCCAGGATCCTCATATGCGGGGGAAGCAGCAGCCAGGCAGACCTCACCAACAGGGACAACCGCACAGGGGCGTGCCTTGGGTGTGCTGCCCCTGCCACAGCCACGTGTGGGCTCATTGCGCCCATGGATCCCAACCCTACATGGACCTATGAGATCATGCCTGTTGCACGGTGAGTGCTGCTATGTCTCTCTTTGCCCTTCCTGCTCCCTGGTGCCTGCTAGCTAGAGAGTGCCGTGCCTTGGGTGTGTTGCCCCTGCCACAGCCACGTGTGGGCTCATTGCGCCCATGGATCCCAACCCTACATGGACCTACGAGGTCATGCCTGTTGCTCGGTGAGTCCTTCAAAGGGTCCTCACGCAGTGTATGCCTGTATGGTCGCCTGTGGATTCCACCCCCACATGGACCTACGAGATCATACCTGTTGCTCGGTGAGTGCTGTTTCAACTCCCTCGTTTTGCTTCTTCTGCTCGCTCGTGCCTGCGTGTGAATGTCCCTTGCTTTGGGTGAGCGGCCTTGGGTGCTTGGCCCCTGCCACAGCCACGTGTGGGCTCATTGCGCCCATGGACCTAAGAGATCATGCCTGTTGCACGGTGAGTGCCCAGCCCGTGCCCCAGTGATGCGCAACCCGTGCCCCAGTGAGCGCACAAACACCCTGCCACAAGCAAGCGTGTCGGCAGTGAGTAAGTGAGGTGCCCCTTGCATTGGGGGTGCTCGGCCCATGCCACAGCCATGTGTGGGCTCATTGCTTGCTCCCATGGATCCCAACCCCACGTGGACCTATGAGATCATGCCTGTTGCACGGTGAGTGCTGTTTGGCTGCCTGCTTGTGTGCCTTCTTCACAAGCAAGCATGCCCGGTGTGAGTGAGGTTCCCTTGGTGTGTCGCCCCTGCAACGGCCACGTGTGGACTCATTGCTCCCATGGATCCCGAACCTAGATGGACCTACGAGATCATGCCCGTGCCCCCGTGAGTGTCAGCCCGTGCTCCGGTGAGTGCTTCTTGAGTTCTTTTGTGTGCCTGTGTTCACCTGTGTTTCTGTCTGTACGAGGGAAGGGAGGGGCTTTCAAGGTCTGAGCTGAAGGGATTATTGTTTGTGCCCCACTCGTCCAGTTCGCAACCCCTCTGCTCTCACCTTTCCCCCGACTTCTGAAAGTTCTCTGAAGTGACTCCAACACGCAACCCCTCTCTGCTCTCACGTTTCTTCGCACCTCCTCCTCTCCCCACCACCTCCCTCTCCCCACCCTTCCCCCATACCCCCCCACAATTTCTCTGTACTCCATTACTCCCCTGAGCAGTGTCATGCCAGATGCCGTGCTCCTATTGGACGGCACGGTCCTGATCTGCAACGGAGGCAGGAGGGGATTCCAGGGGCTGAAGCAGACGTACGCTGGAGGGGACGTGAGGACTCCTGTCATCTACACCCCCACCAACGCTGCTGGCAGGCGGTAGGTTGCGTTTTCCTATAGAGTGCTCGTATGTGAGTGTGGGAGGCAGGAGGGGATTCCAGGGGCTGAAGCAGTCGTACGCTGGAGGGGATGTGAGGACACCTGTCATCTATACTCCCACCAACGCTGCTGGCAAGCGGTAGGTTCCTTTGTGTAGCATGGGTAGTCCCCCAGTAGAGTGCTCGTAGGGAGGGAGGGAGGCAGGAGGGGTTTTCATGGGCTGCAGCAGATGTATGCTGGAGGGCTGAACTGTTTTTCTAGACCCCATTCTCTCCCCTCCCTCTCCCCACAGCTTCTGGCAGGTGCCAGAGTCGAGCCGCTATGCCCGCATGTACCACTCCTCTGCTCTGCTGCTCTGCTGCTCACATCTTGACACCCCTTTCTCTCCCTATCTCCTAATCTTGAACCTTCAACCCTGAACCCGGGAACCCTTCACAGCTTCTGGCAGGTGCCAGAGTCGAGCCGCTATGCCCGCATGTACCACTCTTCTGCCCTGCTGCTCTGCTGCTCTACTATAGACCTCATTCTCTCCCGTCCCTCTCCCCACAGCTTCTGGCAGGTGCCAGAGTCGAGCCGCTATGCCCGCATGTACCACTCTTCCGCTCTGCTGCTCTGGGACGGCTCAGTTTTGATTTCCGGGTCTAATCCCAACGACCGCCTCACCACAAGGGGAACTTACCCTACTCAATTCGCAGTTGACCGATTCGCCCCGCCGTATCTCCAGTGGGGGGTGCCCAGAAACGTGTTGTGGAAGGTGAGGAGGGAGGGAGAAAGAGGAGGGGGGAAGAGGGAGTGCATGTGTGTGGGTCAAATAGAGTGCATGCATAAGTGTGGGCCCTTCTTTCCCTACTCAATTCGCGGTTGGCCTTTTGTCCTGCCATGCTGCAGTGGGGGGTGCCCAGAAACGTGCTGTGGAAGGTGAGAGGGGGATTGTGGGGAACGGGAAAGGGAGGGTAGTCAAGACCATCTTTTCATTCTTGTCGTTTTCTGTATTGTCTGGTCCATACGAACCTTTCAGCCACACCCTCCGTGTTAATGTATAAATTCCATTCTCCTTCCCTTCACCTCCTAACCTTCAGGTACCGTCAACCATTACCTTGAACACCCTCTTTTCAGTCCGCCTCAATACAACTGTAGCCAATCCCCCATCGCTACCCCGCCTTATCAATCGCTTCCGAGCCGTTCTTGTCCATCCGGGGTTTTCCACGCACAGCCAACGCATGGGTATGCGTAACGTGTTGCTCGATATATCCGCAGTCTGGATTTCGCCGGACAATCAAACTGTTACGGCTGCAATAAGAGCGCCACCTAATAGCAGCATTGCGCCGCCGAGTATTTATTGGTTGCATATATTAGATCAAGGTGGTTATCGCGATGCAAATGGAGCATGGGTGCCTGGGAAGTGGGTTCCCAATTTGGAAGGTCAGCCTCTGAGGCTAGTCAAGTAATTGAGAGAGTTTGACACCACTAGTTGCATCATCCCTGACAGTACCATTCTTGCTTGCATGTTCTCGTGTTTTTAGCCTGCACATTCGTAACAAAGATCCCTGCTTCTCTAAATATTCGTGAATTACCCTCTACCGGGTATTCCCCCCCAGCTCTCCTCCATCCAACCTCTCCCTCCCTGCATTCTTCGATCTGGTGTCTCTCCGCCAAATCCTTCAAATCCGTCGAATCCTTAGAATCTGTCACATTCTCGGAATTCCTACTTCCCTTGGGATTGCCGACAGCCTGATCAGCTTCTAGGACTCCGCTGTTCTTCCAGCAGCCGCAGCCATGGCGTCTCTAGGCGCATGCGGGATCCGATTCGCGCGGCGCTTTGTGGTTTTCACGCTGGTTCTGGCGTCGCTCGCATGTATCGGTCAAGCCAGCGAGAATCTGGTCATTGTCAGGGCAGATCGTAAGGTGCGAATTGGCCATTGATCACAAGAGGGAACCTCTTAGAATAGTGACCTATTAATTCTGGTTAGTGTCGTGAGGTGCGAACGTCAGGCTGTTGATTTACGACATAGTAGGTTGATGGGTAGATTTGCGGTCGAGTCACCACGGTCAGACCGTTTCGCTATTGTCACTTTCAGAATCTGGATCTGAGTGATATTGTACGTCAAATCCATAGTTTGCTGTCGATCGTTAGATCGGAATTATAGTCATCGCTATCTTCATTGTTTACCAGTTAGCGTGCGACCCGAGCTGTTTGCTCTAACATTCATATACCGTCGACGGATCGCTCGTTAGGTCGCATCAACAACCGTTTCTACTTTCCGTCTTTATCCTGAATGCCGTTACGTCCTTCACGTCTTGAAGGCTAACACATTGTTAGTGGCTGAGCATCGTATAAGAAATGATTCTCTTTGTTGATAACAGGCACGATCCAGTTTTTTGTTGTTGTCGTTTTTATTCAAATTTTGAGAAATGAGACGCCTTTTTAGACGGTTCAAAAGTCGTCATTACGCCATTTGTTTACCGTGGATAGCACAACGGATTCATGATAGCCACGTGGATGTCTTTAGCTCACGCCGTGGCCGTTCCAAAAACAATTATATTTCTTTGTTTCCCGCCGTTATATCCATTCGCGTTCTCCCCGTCTTCTCTCTGATGCAGATCGACCTTCAGACCCATCTTGTCCGCAACTCCGCGACCCTCAAGGTGAGACTTTTTGGGGTTGGACAAAGCATGTCATATGTTTTTCTGGAATTCCAAAATAAAGTCGGACACAGCATTCTCGAAGCGTTCAGTCGCCTTTCCCCGACCGTTCAGGATTTGAATGGTCGTTAACGCTCTTGAAACCCATTCAAGCGCTCTGACAATGATATCGTATGTGAATGGATCCGAGGTTGTATGCAGAGCGAATTGTACCTGCACGTATGCCTTGTTCTGAGAATGTTGCAAATGTCGCTTACGCTGATGTCGGAGCATGCACAGCGGACAGTACAGCAAGGGATGAGATTCATGTTGATTTGCGCAAGGGCTCGGACACAGCAGGGCGGTGAAACCGCTCTGTTGTCGTGGAGACACGCACATGCCATGAGGGTTCTGATGCTGATTGCTCAACTGCTGTGTTTGCCGCTGTGCTGTTCTGATGCGCGATTGTTCTGTGCCACGTAGCTTGAGTGCGTTTCGATAGGGGTGCAAGTGTAGAGGCGTTTGTCTGCTCGCGTAGCAGCAGGGGATGAGGCTCATGTTGATTGCGCAAGGGCTCGGACACAGCAGGGCGCTCTCCGTGCCTTGCTGTTGTGGAGACACGCACATGCCGTGAGGGTTCTGATGCTGGCACGCTGCTGAACTGATGCTGCATTGTTCTGCTCTTGGGGACACAGCTGGGCGCTTTCATGCCTTCCTTTCATGGAAACCAGCACAAGCCGTGAGGGTTCTAGTGCTAACCCGCTGCTGAACCTGCCACATGTAGTATGCTCTTTTTATATATTTTCGTCACCTACAGGTGGAGCACGCGGGCTCAACGCCTGTCTCCTCGATTTCAGAAGCGCCCTTTCAATCCAACCCTTCGTAACTCCTCCTAATCGCTCTCTTCTTTCTGCTTTTCTTGCTTTATTTGAACACCTACAGGTGGAGAACGCGGGGTCAACGCCTGTCTCCTCGGTCACCCTCGCCGTGCTCGTCCCGCCGCCCGGCCGCCTCGCGTTCGCCACAGCCGTGCTCCTCCAGGGCAAGGCCAAGAGCCGCACCTTCCAGGAACTTCCCCTCACTTCCACCACCCCGGAATCCGCGGTAAAAAACGCGGTTTACTTTAAAGCCCAGCTGCCCTCGCCTCTAGAGCCCGGGAAAACCGCGCAGATAGAGTGCTACTTTGTGGTGATTAACGCTCTCACGCCCCACCCGGCGGAAATCACTCAGGCGGACCCGCAGCTGGTTCTTTTCCAGGACTCGCACTACTTCACCTCTCCGTACCCCGTCCGATCGCAGAGCACCGTTCTCCGCCTCCCCAGCCACCAGATCGAGTCGTTCACGCCGCTGGAACCTTCCAAGAAGGCGGACTCGGAGATTAAGCTGGGGCCGTATGAGGGGGTGGAGGCTGGGGCTGTGTCGGCGCTTTTGGTGCATTATGAGAACAACCGGCCGTTCCCGCTGTTTGAGCGCGCGGAGAGGGAGTACGAGATCTCGCACTGGGGGAATGTGTATGTGACGGAGGACTACCATCTCGTGCACTCGGGGGCCAAGCACACCGGCATGTTCTCCCGGTGAGTGCTGTGTGGGTGGGAGAGGGATGTGCGTACGGGTGTGGGTCTCGTGGCAAGGCGGAGACAAGAGGGCGGAGCGGGAGTATGAGATCTCGCACTGGGGGAATGTGTATGTGACGGAGGACTATCATCTCGTGCACTCCGGCGCGAAGCACACGGGCATGTTTTCGCGGTGAGTGCCGTGGGGACAGGCAGTGGGGCATGTGCTCACCGTGAGTGCGGGTGGGTGAGGGGTGTGCGTACGGGTGTGGGTCTCGTGGCAAGGTAGAGATGGAAGGGCGGAGAGGGAGTATGAGATCTCGCACTGGGGGAATGTGTATGTGATGGAGGATTATCATCTCGTGCACTCGGGGGCCAAGCACACGGGCATGTTCTCCCGGTGAGTGTGTGTGAAGGTAGGAATGCATGTAAAGGTAGGGATGCGCGCACGGGTATGGGTTTCATGGCAAGAAAGCGACAGGAGAGGGAGTAGGAGATCTCGCACTGGGGGAATGTGTATGTGACGGAGGACTATTATCTCGTTCACTCGGGCGCCAAGCACACCGGCATGTTCTCCCGGTGAGAAGGGCAGAAGGGCAGCGAAGGAGAGAGCCAAAGGGGACAGGCAGAGAGGCAGAGAGGCGAAGAGGTAGAGAGGCAATTTGAATGAAGCAGAGGCTTACCAGCTCATGCACTTGGGCGCATGGACACGTTCTTCCCCGAGTAGTGACTTTTGAGTCGACTCAAAAGGCGACGTGTCGACTCAAAAGGCGACGTGTCGACTCAAAAGGCGACGTGTCGACTCAAAAGGCGACGTGTCGACTCAAAAGGCGACGTGTCGACTCAAAAGGCGACGTGTCGACTCAAAAGGCGACGTGTCGACTCAAAGGGCGACGTGAATGAGGCTTACCAGCTCATGCATGAATGAGGCTCAAAAGGCGACGTGAATGAGGCTTACCAGCTCATGCACTTGGGCGCATGGACATGCTCTTCCCCACCTGCATTCCCCTGTAGCCCCTCCTCCTCTCTGCTCATGCTCCCCAGTCTGGACTACCAGCATCGCCCCATGGCCATTGGCGTCTCGTCCCTGCGCGGGCTCATGGATGGCAGTACTGCCGGAGTGGGGCGCACTAAACCTAACTCAATCTGTACTTTCTTCCCCTGCTGCCAACCCCCCACTCCCCTACCCCCTCCCTCCTCCCCCCTCCTCTCCCCGCCCCCTTCCCCTCCTCCTCCCCGCCCCCCCGTCCCCCCCCCTCAGTCTGGACTACCAGCACCGTCCCATGGCCATCGGTGTCTCGTCCCTGCGCGGACTCATGGCAGTACTGCCAGAGAGGGACGGACTGGACTTGACTAAATCTCTCCTTTGCTTTCTTGCCAACCCCCTATTCCCCTTCCCCACTCCTACTCCCCCCTCCGCTCTCCCCTCCCCCGCCCAGTCTGGACTACCAGCACCGCCCCATGGCCATCGGCGTCTCGTCTCTGCGTGGGCTCATGGCAGTGCTGCCAGAGAGGGCTCACACGGTGTATTACAGGGATGAGATTGGAAATATCTCCACCTCGCACCTCCGATACCCGCCCCGAAAGGTGCGCAGTGCGGTGCTGGTGGGTGCTGGTGGGTACTGGTGGTTGCTGGTGGGTGCCAGTGGGTACTGGGGGGCTCATGTGTGGTGGGGGGCTCATGGCAGTACTGCCGGAGAGGGCCCACACGGTGTATTACAGGGACGAGATTGGGAATATCTCCTCCTCGCACCTCCGATACCCAGCCAGGAAGGTGTGCAGTGCGGTGCTGGTGGTTGCTGGTAGGGTGCTGGTGGTTGCTGGTGGGTGCCAGTGGGTAGTGGGGGGCTCATGGCAGTACTTCCGGAGAGGGCTCACACGGTGTATTACAGGGACGAGATTGGGAATATCTCTACCTCGCACCTCCGATACCCGCCCCGAAAGGTGCGCAGTGCGGTGCTGGTGGGTGCTGGAAAGTGTTGGTGTGGTGCTGGTGGGTGCTGGTGGGTGTTTGTGGGGTGCTAGTGGGTGGTGGGGGGGCTCATGGCACTGCCGCCGGAGAGGGCCCACACGGTGTATTACAGGGATGAGATTGGGAATATCTCTACCTCGCACCTCCGATACCCGCCCCGAAAGGTGTGCAGTGCGGTGCTGGTGGTTGCTGGTGGGTGCCAGTGGGTAGTGGGGGGCTCATGGCACTGCCGCCGGAGAGGGCCCACACGGTGTATTACAGGGATGAGATTGGGAATATCTCTACCTCTCACCTCCGATACCCGCCCCGAAAGGTGTGCAGTGCGGTGCTGGTGGTTGCTGGTGGGTGCCAGTGGGTAGTGGGGGGCTCATGGCACTGCCGCCGGAGAGGGCCCACACGGTGTATTACAGGGATGAGATTGGGAATATCTCTACCTCTCACCTCCGATACCCGCCCCGAAAGGTGTGCAGTGCGGTGCTGGTGGGTGCCAGTGGGTAGTGGGGGGCTCATGGCACTGCCGCCTGAGAGGGCTAACACGGTGTATTACAGGGACGAGATTGGGAACATCTCCTCCTCGCACCTCCGATACCCGCCCCGAAAGGTGCGCAGTGCGGGTCTAGTGGGTGCTGGTGGGTGCTGGTGGGTGCTGGTGGGTGTGAGTGGGGTGCCAGTGGGTGGTGGGGGGCTCATGGCAGTGCTGCCGGAGAGGGCCCACACGGTGTTTTTTTTTTTTTTTTTTTTTGAAGGATGAAATACATTAGGCCCAAACGGTGTATTACAGGGACGAGATTGGGAACATCTCCTCCTCGCACCTCCGATACCCGCCCCGAAAGGTGCGCAGTGCGGTGCTGGTGGGGTGCTGGTGGGTGCTGGTGGGTGCTGGTGGGTGCAGGTAGGGTGCTGATGGGTGCTGGTAGGTGCTGGTGGGTGCTGGTGGGTGCTGGTAGGTGCTGGTGGGTGCTGGTAGGTGCTGGTGGGTGCTGGTGGGTGCTGGTGGGTGGTGGTGGGTGCTGGTAGGGTGCTGGTGGGTGCCATGTTCCGATGTTCTCTTCCCATGTTCACATCCTTCGATCCTTACCGACTCACATGCCTAATCCCGAAACCCTTTCTGAACATTTTCGTAAGTAATTCCCATGTTCACCCCACACATCATTCTTCACCTGTATCCTCCTTACCCACTCGCATGCCCAACCCCAAACCCTCATCCCTCTCCCGAACCTCCCTTTCCGAACCTCAGGCCGAGCTGGAGATCGAGCCTCGGTACCCGCTCCTGGGCGGGTGGTCCGTGACGTTCCGAGTGGGGTACAGCGTGCCTCTGGGCGACCTTGTTTCCATCAGCACTGACGGCACTCGCATGCTCAACGCCACCCTCGGCAGCCCCTTTGCTGACGTGCCCGTCAAGCATCTGACCGTCAAGGTGAGGAGGGTGGGAGTTGCATGGGGAGAGGGGCAAGGGAGGGGCAGCAAGGGAGGGGCAGCAGGGGAGGCGTAGCAGGGGAGCAGGGGCAGCAGGGGAGGGCGGCAGTAGGGAAGGGGGTGTTGGTTGGGTGGTGGGTGGGAGGTGAGGCGTTCCGAGTGGGGTACAGCGTGCCTCTGGGCGACCTGGTTTCCATCCGCTCTGAGGGCTTATTCCCCAAAGCTGATGCCTATTACCCTCTGTCATCTCCCTTCCTAGTGTACTTCTCCCTCCTCCGTGCCTCGCAAAGGGCGGTATCTCTGCAGAAATGCGCTGAGGCTCATGTCCTCTTTCTCCTCCTTTCCATGTGCTCTTACTTTTGAGGCGCCTCAGAAGTCCTCGCAAAGGGCGGTACAAACATGCCCTGAGGCTCATCTCCTCTTTCTCCTCCTTTCCATGTGCTCTGACTTCTTCCATCCCTCCTCCCTGCGTTCCCCCCCCCTCCCGTCCCTCCCGTCCCTCCCGTCCCTCCCGTCCCTCCCGTCCCTCCCGTTGTCAACCTGGTTCTTGTTTACCAGGTGGTGCTCCCGGAGGGTTCATATGGCATTTCTGCGGATGTGCCCTTCCCAGTGGGCAAGAGCACTGAGGTGAGAGGGGGGGTTGAGAAGGGAGGGATATAAAGCATGGGCTTGTGGACATGTGGGCATGGGCACGGGCATGGGTACTACCTGAGAGGAGCGTTCATATGGCATTTCTGCTGATGTGCCCTTCCCCGTGGGCAAGAGCACCGAGGTGAGAGGGGGGGTTGAGAAGGCAGGGGTAGGTGAAGGGGCGAATAGGTCAAGGTAGGGTTAGGTGAAGGGGGGATAGGTGAAGCATGGGCATGGGGGCATGTGGGTATGAGGACATGAGGGCACGAGGGCATGGGGGCATGAGGGCATGGAGGCATGGGGGCATGGGGGCATGGAGGCATGGAGGCATGGATGCATGGGGGCATGGGGGCATGGGGGCATGAGGGCATGGGGCCATGGGGGCATGGAGGCATGGGGATGGATGCATGGGGGCATGGGGGCATGGGGGCATGGAGGCATGGGGGCATGGAGGCATGGAGGCCTGATAACTGGTGCTGGATAACTGCAATGACTCCCCGTTTTGTTCCTCCCATCCGTCTCCATGCCTCCCATCTCTTCCCATCTCTTCCCATCTCTTCTCATCCCTTTCCATCCCTTCCTTGTACATTTAGACCAAGTATTCATACCTGGACACGGTGGGGCGCCCGGTGGTGGTGTGGATAAGAAATGACATGTTTCCGTCCCATCCCTTCCCATCCCTTTGCATCCCTTTCCATCCCTTCCATGTGCCTGCAGACCAAGCACTCATACCTGCACATGGTGGGCCGCCCTGTGGTGGTGTTGGATAAGAGGAAAGGCTCACTGGTTTCCTCCCCATCCCTTCCCATCCCTTTGCATCCCTTCACATCCCGTCCCTGTGCCTGCAGACCAAGTACTCGTACCTGGACACGGTGGGGCGCCCGGTGGTGGTGCTGGATAAGAGGAAAGGCTCACTGGTTGCTTTCCCATCCCTTTGCATCCCTTCCCATCCCTTTGCATCCCTTCACATCCCTTCCCTGTGCCTGCAGACCAAGTACTCATATCTGGACACGGTGGGCCGCCCGGTGGTGGTGCTGGATAAGAGGAAAGGCTCACTGGTTTCCTCCCCATCCCTTCCCATCCCTTTGCATCCCTTCACATCCGTTCCCTGTGCCTGCAGACCAAGTACTCGTACCTGGACACGGTGGGGCGCCCGGTGGTGGTGCTGGATAAGAGGGATGTGGTTCCGGAGCAGGGAATCATGCACTTCCAGGTGGGTTGAGTTCAATCCGGTACTATCACTGCTTCTCCTAGTGTCTACATCACCTGTCCCCCAACACGCCATGTGGATAAGAGGGACGTGGTGCCAGAGCAGGGAATCATGCACTTCCAGGTGGGTTCAATCAGAATGGTCATGTCATGGCACTGCTTCTCACACCGTCCAGATGAGTGGTCCCTTGCGTGGTGGTGCTGAATAAGAGAGACGTGGTGCCGGAGCAGGGAATCATGCACTTCCAGGTGGGTCAGGCAAACTGCTACTCTCACTGTTTCTCCTAGTATCTGCTCACCTGTCGCCCAGCCATGTGGATAAGAGGGACGTGGTGCCGGAGCAGGGAATCATGCACTTCCAGGTGGGTTTGAAGACACTTGAGTATCTGTTAGGTGGCTTTCTCCTCCTCCTAGCACCCAGAGCCTACATGCCATGTGGATAAGAGGGACGTGGTGCCGGAGCAGGGAATCATGCACTTCCAGGTGGGTTGAGTTCAATCCGGTACTCTCACTGTTTCTCCTAGTATCTGCTCACATGTCGCCCAGCCATGTGGATAAGAGGGACGTGGTGCCGGAGCAGGGCATCATGCTAAGACTATGCACTTCCAGGTGGGTTCAATCAGAAAGGTTATGTCACTGCTTCTCCTACTGTCCAGGAGGAGCGGTCCCTTGCATGGTCGTTCTGGATAAGAGGGACGTGGTGCCGGAGCAGGGCATCATGCTAAGACTATGCACTTCCAGGTGGGTTTGAAAGAAGTGGTTTGTTTTAGTGGCTATCAGGCGACCTCCTGTGATCCACATAGCCATCCCACAATGCCAGCTAGATACAAGGGATTCGGTGCCAGAGCAGGGAATCATCTTTTGAGGCTCGTCAAAAGGGAATCATGCATTTCCAGGTGGGTTTCACAAGTTAGGCAATATGGTGAGTTACAGTGCCCCCGCATTCTCCTCCTCTTCCTCCTCTTCCTCCTCTTCCTCCTCTTCATCGCCTACACCCACTCCGACCTCACCATCTCCAAAAGTGCCCCCACTTTCCGTGTGACCTGCCCTCTCCCCCTTCCCTCCCCTTCCCTCCCCTTCCCTCCCCTTCCCTCCCCTACCCTTCCCTTCCCTGCACTTCCCTTCCCTCCCCTTCCCTCCCCTCCCCTTCCCTTCCCTGCACTTCCCTGCCCTGCCCTTCCCATTCCCCCTTCCCCCCCCTCTCTCCCTCCCCCACCAGGTGAAGTACAAGTTCTCAAAGGTGGCTCTCCTCACCGAGCCCCTCCTCCTCATCATCCCCCCTCGCCCCTCCCCCTTCCCTGCTTTCTCTCCTGCCTCTTCCCCGCGCTCCTATCTGCCCCCCCGTCCCCCCTTCCTCTATCAGGTGAAGTACAAGTTCTCAAAGGTCGCTCTCCTCACGGAGCCGCTCCTCCTCATCCTCTTCTTCTTCCTCCTCTTCCTCCTCTTCATCGAATACACCCACTCCCACCTCACCATCTCCAAGACCGCCCCTCTTTTCCTCTCACCTCCCCTCTCCTCCTTCCCTTCCCTCCCCTGTTCTTCCCCGCCTGCCCTGCCCCGCCCTGCCCCGCCCTGCACTGCTCTGCCTCCCCCCCTCCCCCCCCCCATCAGGTGAAGTACAAGTTCTCAAAGGTGGCTCTCCTCACAGAGCCGCTGCTCCTCATCCTCTTCTTCTTCCTCCTCTTCCTCCTCTTCATCGCCTACACCCACTCCGACCTCACCATCTCCAAAACCGCCCCTCTTTCCCTCTCACCTTCCCTCTCCCTCTTCCCTTCCCCCCTGTTCCCTGCCCTTCCCTGCCCCTTCCCTGCCCCTTCCCTGCCCTGCGCTGCCATCCCCTGTCGTGCCCCGCCCTGCCCTCTCTCCCCCCCCATCAGGTGAGGTACAAGTTCTCAAAGGTGGCTCTCCTTATGGAGCCCCTCCTCCTCATCCTCTTCTTCTTCCTCCTCTTCCTCCTCTTCATCGCCTACACCCACTCCGACCTCACCATCTCCAAAACCGCCCCTCTTTCCCACTCACCTTCCCTCTCCCTCTTCCCTTCCCCCCTGTTCCCTGCCCTTCCCTGCCCCTGCCCTGCCCCTGCCCTGCCCTGCTCTGCCATCCCCTGTCGTGCCCCGCCCTGCCCTCTCCCCCCCCATCAGGTGAAGTACAAGTTCTCAAAGGTCGCTCTCCTGACCGAACCCCTCCTGCTCATCCTCTTCTTCTTCCTCCTCTTCCTCCTCTTCATCGCCTACACTCACTCCGACCTCACCATCTCTAAGACCGCCCCTGCTTACCTCGCAAAGCTTCACCACGAGGAATTCCTCGATCTCATCCAACGGCTCTCGCGCCTCGTGGCCGATCGTGCGGCCCAGATCGAGTCTCTGGACGCGGGGCTGCTGAAGCTGGGGAGGAGCGGGGATGTGGCGGGGGCGAAGACGAGCAGGAGGAATGTCGAGACTGAGTTGAAGGAGAGTGGGAGGGAGATTGCGTCTGTGGTGGGGAAGATTGAGGCACTTCCCAAGGTTCCTGCTCTTCCCCTGCGCACTGTAAGTCCCCTTCTCTCACCCTGTTGAGTTGAAGGAGAGTGGGAGGGAGATTGCTGCTGTTGTGGGGAAGATCGAGGCTCTTTCCAAGGTCCCTGCTGCTCCCCTGCGCACTGTAAGTCTTCCTCCATCCCTCTCCCCCTGAGCTGAATGTTGAGTCACTCAAAATGTGGCGGGGGCAAAGGCGGGTAGGAGGGCTGTGGAGGGGGGGTTGAAGGAGAGTGGGAGGGAGATTGCTTCTGTGGTGGGGAAGATTGAGGCTCTTCCCAAGGTTCCTGCTGGCCCCCTGCGCACTGTAAGTCCCCTTCTCTCACCCTGTTGAGTTGAAGGAGAGAGGGAGGGAGATTGCTGCCGTGGTGGGGAAGATTGAGGCTCTTCCTAAGGTCCCTGCTGGTCCCCTGCGCACTGTAAGTCTTCTTCCATCCCTCTCCCCCTGAGCTGCATGTTGAGTCACTCAAATTGTGGCCGGGGCAAAGGCGGGCAGGAGGGCTGTTGAGGGGGAGTTGAAGGAGAGTGGGAGGGAGATTGCTTCTGTGGTGGGGAAGATCGAAGCTCTTCCTAAGATCCCTGCTGGTCCGCTTCGCACCGTACGTTCCCCTTTTTCCCCCTCTCTCCCGCTCCTTCCCTCTTCCTTGTCGCAATTTCCCATCTCCCTACATATTTTTCAAGTTCCAAGGTTCCTTCTTTCCGCAGGAAGGGAGATCGCTGCTGTAGTGGAAACGATGGGAGTCCCTTCCCAAGGCTCCTCTCTCTTTCCCTCATTCGTCTTCTCTCCTCCCCCCTCCTCTCCTCTTCGGCCTTCCTTTCCCCTAGGTGCAAGCCTTGGTGGCGAAGGAGAAGGAACGTGCGGACAGGGCCGTGGCGAAGCACGCGGTGGCAGTGGAGGCATATGAGAAGAAAACCCCTGCCAAGGAGATTGACGCTAACTCACCCACACTTCCTCTCTACTCTCCCCTGCTCCTCCCCCCCGCCCTGCCTTCCCCCAGGTGCAAGCGCTGGTAGCGAAGGAGAAGGAACGTTCAGACAGGGCAGTGGCGAAGCACACGGTGGCAGTGGAGGCATATGAGAAGAAGACCCCTGCCAAGGAGATTGACGCTAAGATTGGCCCGATGCAGCAGCGCTTGGCGGCTCTGAAGGCAGAGATCAAGGAACTGGTGATGGCTCTGGAGGAGTGAAGGGTGTGAGGAGAGGGACCTTGGGAATCAGGTGGGAGGTTGAGAGGGGAATGGGAGGAAGGGGTGGTGGGGGGAGGCATGATGGAAAGAACGGCCCGATGCAGCAGCGCCTGGCGGCTCTGAAGGCAGAGATCAAGGAACTGGTGATGCTCTGGAGGAGGGAAGGGTGTGAGGAGAGGGAGATGGGTGGTGTGGGGTGGGGAGTGAATGGGAGGGGTATGGGAGGAAGGGGTGGAGGGGGGAAGCGTGATGCAGCAGCAACTGGCGGCTCTGGAAGCAGAGATTAAGGAACTGGTGATGGATATGGAGGAGTGAAGGGTGTGAGGAGAGGGAGATGAGTGTTGGGAGGGGTGAGGATGAGGGTGAGGTTGAGGGGCATGGGGAGTGATGGAGAGGAGAGGGGTATGGGAGGTAGGAGGTGGATGGGGTAACTACAATGGCAAGATTAGCCCCATGCAGCAGTGGCTGGTCTGGTAGCAGGGACGAACTTACGGTTGGAAAAGGATGCGCCAAAGGCGAATGACCGGCCTACGCATTTTTCCCATGGTTTATTAGAGCCACTCGTTTCGTTACATATTGTTGATCAGATAAGTGTGCGGAGGAACTGGTCTAGTTTTGGATTGAGAAGGGCCTTCTGTTGGGTGCGTTGATTTCGTTCGAGTTGACTAACTAAGTAAACAATAATACTACGCGCTAACACTGGAAACTCAATATCGAATTTTTCTGCCTGGGAACCGCACGCCCAGTCGCATGCCGCACAGTATTCCGGATACCCGGTGTAATGTGGTGCTTTTCGGTTTACTGCAAATATCTCGCGGTGCTGCAAGAGTCAGAGGTCCACATAGTCGGCTGCAACTCGGGTTGCTTTAGTCTCCGTTCCGCCAAGAGCTGTGGCTGGGTCATGTCTGGCGACTTTCTACTAGCATCTGATCTGGGTACCTCGGAACAGATTCGATCCGGAGAGGCTGATTGCGCAGATCAGATTGCGCGGAGCGGATTCAACCCCGAGAAGTTGGTTGCGCAGATCGGGTCGGGGGAGCTGCTTGCGCCGCGGGCTGAAGTTCCGACAGGCGTTCGTCGCTTTCTGTGGTGTCACCATGGCGTCTGTCGAGCCGCCTTCCGCGGCGGGAACTGCACGCGCCACCGCAAATCACGGAGCTGCGGAAACGGCCTCGTCTAGCCAATATACGGACTTTAAAGCGCAAACTTGGTACGACGTGCAGCGAAACGCGCCCGAAGGTAGTAATCTCCGCGGCGGCGCGGCCGCGGGCGCGGGCACAGGCGGGGCGGGGGGCGGAACAGTGGCGGAGGGAATCTCCGCGGAGGCGGTGCTCCGCCAGGCGGAGCAGCAGGCGGCGGAGCGCAGGCGCGGCGCAAGGCTGCGCGCCGCTCCCCCAGTGTACTTCTTTCCGCGGAGATCATGGGGTGTGACTATAGCGAGATACGGCGCGGTTGTGGCAGCGGGATTGGCGGCGGGAATGACGCTAGAAACATGGATCCGACAAAAAGTGGCAGGTATGGGCTTGTAAGGGATATTGGGGGAGGGGGAATGCGTATAGGGGTGCAGGATACAGGGTATATGGTACAGGGTATAAGGTGTATGGGTGCGTAGGTCGATGGTTGTTCTTGGAGTGAGACGTTTCTTTCATCCGAAGAAGTGTATGGTGTCAGGCTGGAAAAGGGAAAAGGGAAAGCGGGGATGGAGAGGGGGGAGAGGAAGTGGGGAAAGGGGAGGAAGAAGTAAGAGTGGTGAGTAGGGAGGGGAAGAGGAGAGAAGGGAGAAGGCAAAATGGGAAAGCAGAAGGTCAATGAGAGTATGCTGCTCTGCACCCCTTTGTGCCGCACTTCACCGCTTTGTGCTTCGCTGATCCCCTCTGATCATCTCTCTGTGTGCCCGCATCAGAGCAAAAGCAGGATTGAATGCCCTTCTGTGCCCCTATGTACTTCTCTGCACCCTCTAATTCTCTCCGGGTGTGCCTGGGTCTAGGGGATGCTGGTGCGTCGCGAGGAGGAGGGGTATCCGAGCAAAATCAGGATTGATTACCCTTCTGTGCCCCTATGTTCTTCTCTGCACCCTGTAATTCTCTCCCGGTGTGCCTGAGTCTAGGGGATGCTGGTGCGACGCGAGGAGGAGGGGTTTCCGAGCAAATGCTCCATTCTGTCCCTATGTACCGCTCTGCATTCCTCTGTTCTTTTCTCCATGTTTCTCTGTGTCTAGAGGATGGTGGCTATGTCATGGGAAAGAAAAGAGCTGCAAGGCATTAGTAATGCCAGCATGCCTTTGTACCGCTCTGCACGCCTCTGTTCCTCTCCCCGTGTTCCTTCCTTTGTGTCCAGAGGATGGTGGCTATGTCATGGGAAAGAAGCAAGCTGCAAGGCATTGGTAGTAAGGCATGAGCAACCTCCCTCTGTGCCCCTTTGTACCGCTCTGCACCCCTCTGTTCCTTTTTCTGTGTCCAGAGGATGGTGGCTATGTCATGGGAAAGAAGGGAGCAGAGCATTAGTAAAGCGTGCGTTCTTCCTACACGCATCATCAAATTCTGCGTGACAAGCACAGCATCAATAAGAGCAACACACATGACATTGCAGCCCACTTCTGAAATGTTATCTGCTGATATTTTACGAGTTCACTTTTACCGGCATCGGCACGACGCCCGATTAGATGAGGAAAAAGGGCAAGTATGGTACGGTACGGTAGCTGGAAATTGCATACCTAATGTGCTGGATTCTTCTGCAGCTATCTCGCCCTGCTCAACACACAATTATGTCGTCCAGTAGGCTCCTGCCCCTGTCCTAGCTGCTACAAAAACAATTGCAGCACATAAACAAATTTTACGAGTACCGGTATGAGATCCGGAAGTGAAGCTGCAACAAATTGCACCCAGGCCTGCTGGAAACCCACCCATATAGCGGCCCTCAATGATCCAAGCAAGGCAAAACAACTCCCCATCCCCTTGACATTGCTACATGCAGCTGTACGTCGCCCGAACAAAACCCCGGTCCATATGTTTTCTCGCTAGTGAAGTTCGCCAAACCCCATAAGTTAGTCAAATGTATATGGTCGCTTTAGACTGGGCTATAGTTCCAAACATAATTCTACGAACGAAGCAATTGTGTTGTCTTTGTGGTAGGTGACTGATCGGTTACTTTCCTTGCCCGTTCTCCCCTGCCTTTTCATGCACCTGAAAAACTCACATGAGCCCCCTGAAATTGCTGTGTAGGCCCAGAATAACCTGCGAGCAACAGCGCACTGCGAGTTGTGTACCCTCGTGCCGTGACTCGTGCCCCCTGCCTGACCCGTTCCCTGTACAGTAGGCTGGGTGAACTTCCCAGATCTTTACCCCCGTAAAAGAAGTATATTCGTTGTGCCAGCCAGCCTTCCTGCCAGCGGCAATTTGATCGTCATAAAATGTTAGAATCACTAGTGGCTAGGTGAGGAATGATGATTAGGTGAGGGAGAGGGGGTACAAGAGTGTCGAGAGAGTTGGGTTGTACCCTCTAAGGTGTGACCCTACACAACCTAGAGTAAGAACATAACAATATGTTTTGACACACCCCCATAGGTCAAGTAGGGGGTAGCCAAACCTAACAGTGGTCACAAGACCAGTCAAGCAACAGAACAAGCAAGGCAAAGCCCAGGGTGGATCTCAAGGACACCACACAATCTGAGCACAAGCAGGCGGCCATAAGGCCAGTTCACATGCAGATTTATAATAGCAAGGCAGTAAACATGCAGGTATAAAGATATATATAGCAGTGTATAACAAGAGCAAGTCAAGCAACCAGCAGGTGAGGCAGAGTGGGCACAAGCCCAAGAGCAGTGCAGAAACGCTGATGATCACCAGCCCCAAGGGCCTTGGTGAAGACATCAGCAGTGTTGGCCCGAGAGGCCACGAAAGCAAGGCGCAGCTGACCACGCTGCTGCAGCTCACGCGCAAGGAAGTAGCGCAGAGCAATGTGCTTCGTTCTGTGCTCCAGTCTCTGCTCGCGACACAAGGCAAGCATTGCCTTGTTGTCGACGTACAGAACTGGAGGAGAACGAGGCCGCTCCCCCAAGTCGGTCAGCAGGTAGGTCAGCCAGCGGAGCTCCTGTGCAGCCATGGCCCCAGCGTAGATCTCGGCCTCACAACTGGAACCAAGCACAGAAGAAGAACGAGTGGACCTCCACGAGACAGAACCAGCGCCAAGACTGAAGGTGTAGCCCTGTGACGAACGCTGAGTCGCCTGGTCGTCGGCCCAAGAGGCGTCAGAGTGTCCTGTGAGGACCACCGAACCCCGTCCTCCAAGCACGAGCCCCATGCCCGATGTGCTGCACAAGTAACGCAGTACCCTCTTCGCAGCATCAAAGTGCACCTTTCGGTGCCTACCGGGTGCCACGTAGCGAGCCAGAAGGCTGAGAGGGTACGCGAGGTCAGGTCGTGTGCACGTCATCAAGTACATGAGGCAGCCCACAAGCTCTGGGTACGGACCACTCGGCTCTATGGACTCGTCCGAAGGTGGAGCTGAGAGCGAGTGGCCGGTAGCCAGAGGAGTGGGCTGTGGCGAGGAGTACGTGAAGCGGAAGCGCTGTAGGACCTGGTGCACCATGTGTGACTGAGTCAGGGTGATGGTGCGCCGTGGTCTGTCTCGGGTGATCTGCAAGCCAAGATAGCTCCGCAGCTCACCCAGGTCAGTGCAGGTGTGTCTCTCCTGCAGCTCCGCCTTCACTAGGGCCAGTGCCTCAGTGTCAGCAGTAGCAAAAACCAAGTCGTCGACGTACACGAGGATGTAGAACGGTGGCAGAGTAGTGTCGGTGCGTAGAAACAGCGACGGGTCAGCAGTCGAAGGAGCAAACCCAAGAGCCGCAAGTGTCGTCCTCAGTGTGTCGTGCCACTCGCGGGGCGCCTGACGCAAGCCGTACACTGGTCGCCGTAGGCTCCACTGGGTACCCTCAGGAAACGACCCAGTGAAGCCCTGTGGACGGCGCAACCAGATGGCCTCGTGAAGGCTACCCTGCAAGAAAGCTGTCGAGAAGTCGAGGGAGTGCAGCTCGTAGTCACGCTGAGCTGCAACGTGTAGCAACACCCGAAGAGTGGTCATCTTCGGGGTGGGAGAGAAGGTCTGAAAGAAGTCGACCCCCTCACGCTGACTGAAGCCTCGAGCAACGTAATGTGCCTTGAAGGCAGGCGGAGAACCCGGCGGCCGCTTCACCCTGAAAATCCACATGCCACTGACGATGTTCGCCCCAGGTGGGGGAACCTCGTCGACGTAGGTGCCTGTGGACTTCCAGGAAGCCATCTCTACGTCCATGGCTGTCTGCCACTGAGAGGAGTACTCACCCGAAATCGCCTCCCTGTAGGAGCGCGGGGTGGGGATGTCAAGTGCATCCGGGTCTCCCTCAGGGGCAAGCAGCATGGTCGCGTGATGGGGTGAAGCGGCAGCAAGGCACTCCAGCTCCTCCTGTCTGTCCTCAAGAACGTCACAGCCAAGGGCAGTGCAGCCAAGAGCAGTCTCACCCCCGACGGACGGAGGACAGGCAGGGACAGGGTCAGAGACAAGACTCGCA